AGTTGGTACCTTGTGTCAGGGTCTAGCGTAATATTTGCTCAGAAAACAAAAAGCCAACAGAACAATCGAAATACTTGAAGGCTCTACGAAACAAAAAATATAAAAAAAAACTGGGGGAAAAAAGAGACCAAGACTCGTGACTTAACAAGGCCAAGAAGCTGAAATGGAGGGGCAAGGCGTTGGATTTGGATGGATGATGAATGGCGAGAGCAACAATTGTGCAACAATTTCCACACCATCAGCGGGAAATCCATCAGGTTGGATAGGGATGCTGTTTCTACACTGAGAAAAAGGTGCCAATATTAGTCCTAATGATAAATGTTGTAACTGCAACTGAAAGATTTTATCAGAAAACTTTTATCATCTTAACATTGCTTTCTAACTTAACCAATAATACCTTTAGGCCCTTAATAAACCTGTTTTTAATCATTTAAAAATAATTTTTCTGTCTGTTGATGCTTAAAAAGATTTCAATACGATCACCTCCTGTATGGCATTTGACAATTGATGGCCCGCACATTTGTCTTTCACCGTCTTGCCGTCTTGTCTTGCACCTTCATCAGCCATCTCTTTCGTTGTGATACAACCCCTCTCTGTCGCTGTCTCTGTTTCTTTCCCTTTCTCGCGGGATCTTTTGAAGTGAACCCGTTTTGACAAATGTGTGTCATTGCTGGGCCATCAAAAGACACGATCGTTGGAGTCTTTGGCTCTTCGAATTCGATTTTTGTTTGGCAAGGTAAGGTGTATTTTCGGGCTATTAATGCTGCCGCAAACGGTAAAAACCAAATCAAGTGACTGGCAATCTCAAGATGATCGTCGGCATCACCAACCATCATCATCATCATCATCTTTGGGATCAACAAAAAACCATTCGATGCCGCGGAAACTTTCAATGAATGGAAATTCATTGAGTGTGAGTGGTTTTCAGTACAAAAGGTCTTACCAATCCACTTCTATTTATCTTAAAGATATTTTCTAAATTAGTATAGTGTATAGTTGTGTTTGGAGAAAAGACTTTTTTTTTCTTGGTCCATTGATCTACATCCGCGTGAATTCTTCAGAATCTTTTTGGGGACACTTCTCAGTGACACATTTGTCTCATTTCAGAAAAAAAAACTCTCTATTGATGCCATTACGTGGTAAATGATTCCAATAAACAGTCCGGGGCAATCCGGGGCATGACATTTTGGTCTAAATGTATGCCTTGGCTGATATTTAACAACTCTCATTGTGGCGACAGCGATGAAATTCTAAAAAAAATGCCTTCACATTTTGAAATTCTTTTCCAAAAAAAAAAAAAAACCATGGCGGCGACAAAGATATTCTATTTATACACAAATGGTCAATGGGGTGATATTACTTTATCTGAAATGCCATGACTTCTTATAAAGTCGCACTTTCTAAAAATACCAAACTTTATAGTTTTGTGAGGTTTTTTTTTTTATTTATTTTAACACATTACTTAAAGAGGCATATCAAATTTTATAGATTTTTCATTTGCATTTAACTATATTGGTTTTTATAGAAAACCTATAAAGTTTTGAAAGTCGCAATAAAGTTTTCCTAAGATGTGGTGACAATTTTCTACATTTTTAAACCATTTTTAGTTACTTTCTTTTAAATAATCAAAAAGACTAAAAACTCCATATTCTCAGGGTATTTCTCATTCGTCTGTATAGTGTATTCCTCCTTAATAAACGTGTCTCGAAATTAGTGGGGAGAATTTCCCAACATGCGGTTTTGCATTATTTCAGAAGCCATCAGCGGCTACACGGCGGCCGAAAAGCTCGCCACAATTTTCATTTAATTTTTCAGTTTTTGGTGAAGGGGAGAGATGTTCTCCGAACCACGGCCACAGAGATCCCGCGTATATAACATCAGCCCCATCCCCGGACTTTACCAAGTAGTAGTTGCGTAGGTGTCCGGGTTGTCCGTCCGGAATGTCCGTCCGGGTGTGTCAACTGCTGCTGAAAGATTTTCGTGTCGTTGTTTCCATCCCGCCTGCCAGCAGACGACAGACACGAATTCTTTCGACAAGAAAACACACATTTCGAAAACTTTTTCCCGTTCCTTTCTACATTTTTTTTTTTTTTTTTTTTTGTTGAAATTTTCTGTTTGGTGTTGCGGTGCGTACGTAAAAAGATTTAGCAATAGCAATGAATTTAGTTAATTTATGGCATTATTAATAACGTCACGAAGAGAAAGAACCATATGAGAAAAAAAAAAATAAATCTAAAATATAATTCTTTTTATATTATATAGGATGTTTGAAACAGGATGCGTGTTGGGTAGAAAATTATTGAGCAAACTTTTTAATAAGTTAATTAAGTTAAAACCCTTTGAAAATGTTTTTGAGTTTAGATCTTTCCCAAGTCATTTCAAAAATGTTTTTCTTTCCTATGATATATATTTTTTATGTACGACAATTTACATTTTGGCAGAGAGATCTCATTAAGGTATATTCATTTGGAAGTCTTCAAAACCACTTCGAAGACGATAACCCGAAACAATGGAGAATTTCACTGGGTCAGCTTAGTTATGCGGAGATTATTGAATGATAGCTAGGCCAAAGCCATAAATACTTGGGCACCAGTGTGGCGTATCGATGTTTGTGAATGGCACGAGCTCAACATCAACCTGCATAAAATGTAAATGAGCCCGACAAAACCCCCAAAAAACCAAACAAATTTACGACCCAATCAATAGACTTCGAAAAAGCTGTTTTCTGCCTTTGTTTCCCTCTTAGTTTATATTTTTTTTCTTCCTCGGTTTGTTTGAGCCTCACTAAGACTTGAAGACATTTCTGGTTTTCAACGATCTTTGAGGTGTTCCACTAGCCCCACCGAAATTTACATTAATTTGTGAGCAAAGTATGGCATATTATGCAAATATTTTAACAGACTCCAACCTCTGGCATTTCCCTTGGCAACTGAATTAGAACTGTTTTTTTGGGGATTTTTTTTTACAAAGTATTAGTATACGACTTCGTAATACTACCCCCAACCCACTTAAGTTAGAAACGCCACTGATAGATCGACTATTTGAGTGATTTTGAAACCAAATAGATAACCCAGATGACTTTCTTGCCAAATCAGACGCCTAATCAATGTTGTTTAGGGATGACTTAGCTAACGTTTTACCATTTAATAGTCCCAAGTCGAATCGTCAAAACAGGCGCATTCCTCGAGGCCAACTTTGAACCTGAAGGTGATAAGAAATTTCGCTGATTCCGAACTATTAAAAGTGCTAAATAGATCGGATCATAACTGAGGAATTTTTCCTTAGGTGCGTCAAGAAAACCATGAATGAATAGCTATATAAACTATATAGACCGAAGACTTCAAGGCGAAAACTAAATTTAGCAAAGGTTTATTCTTTTTCGATGTCAATTTATTATTAAAATTTATGACGATATTAACACGAAAATCAGAATAATACTTTTACGCATTTGACGTTTTTATGGGTCCACCCCTAAGACCCCCTCCCCATTCCGCCACCAATTTCCCCTCATGACAAGAACAAAAAAAAAAGAGACAACTAAAAAAGATTTGTACCGATTCTTATGCGAAGAAGCGTTTGAAAATTAAGTCTCTTTGCTGTGTTATTTATTGCATAATTATAGGAAAAATGGCGAGACAACAAAGTAAAAAGATTATCGCACGTCTTGACCCCAGAAATAAAATATATTTCTATTTTTTCGAAATTTTATTTTGTTGGTTTTGTTTTTAGTTTTTTGTGTGTTTCTAGAAGCCTTGACGAGCCCAATATCCCGTCTTCATAAGCAGATGAAAAATGCCATAAACACACAATATGCATACATATGTATTAAGTGGAAACGTGTAATTTGCATAAAATCACCTGATTGAACGTTAAATATTTTTTAAGATTCAGATTATGGAGCCAAGAAATGCTCATAAAGTTCACCATCGGACGACTGTAAAATGAGGGATACAATAAAAATTGGGAAAGGTGCACTGAAAAAATAAAATCTTACAAACATATTTAAAGCATTCATCGTATATATTATATATAGTGGAAAGTTTCTCTCAGTGAGAGCACTGAAACTAAGCTGAAAAAGAGAGATAGACCAAGTTTAGAGCACCTGACTCGATATTCAACAAACATAAATATTTGCATAAATTACTGGAATAGTTTTTCAAGCTATTTTACATTTTTAATGAACAGCAACAAAAACTATCTTGGGCAGTATGAAACGATTAGGTACTCCCCTTTGATCATTTTTTGCTTTTTTTTTGTGTTTTATTTCCATCGATTTATGTGCAAAGGCGATATAAATTAGAATTTTATGACATCGAATGGGGGGAATGGATAAAATCAAAAATGTGTCAACCTCTGTAAACACAAATAAAAGAAGGTCGAAATTAGTGTTTTGGATGCTGCATATAAAAAAGGTTCTTAAGCTGATGTAATAAAATAAAAATGTGTCAGCCAAATGAACATAAATAAAAGGGACGTCAAATTAATTAGTTACTTTTGAAAAAATGTAAATATGGAAATAAAAGGCATTGAAAATTAATTTTCTACTAAGTAATACAGGAAAATGTTGTATTGTTTTTGTTTTAGTTTTTTAATAAGACGGAATAAAAATTTTATCACTTGTTTTATTTTTAATTTTTATAGCAATTTTAAAACTTTTTATTTTATATTAAATTTAATCTACATAAAGCGAAAAAGAGACAGATGTATACCCTATCAAGAAAAAAAATTCTTAATCCAGCACTTCCGTTTCCGCTCACGTTTATTTAGAGCAGTTAAGAGACTATCGATATACTTGCTAATATCAGGAGCTGCTAAACGTGTAGAATTATCGATACATCGATTGGAAATGAAACTACAGTAGATAACCTTTATCGTAGATAAAGAGTTTTTCGCCTAGACTTGAAAAGTCTTCGTGCGCTAGGTATGAGTGCTAGTTAGCTATTTTATTAACAGGGAACATGTGTGAGTATTTCTTGATAATTTTATATCTTATCACCATTAATTTACCGGATATAGAAAAATGCAAATTAGGGGAAATGTAATATTGAAGAGTTTGGTAATAAAAGGAAATAATTAATTATTCCTTAAATATATGTATTATTTAAAATGTAAACTAAAGAACATAATTAGCGCTACAATTTGAACTTTTTGAAATGGTGGATTTATTAGATACAAAACAGCGATGGTCGATAACATTTCGGGGATACTGTCTGGTAACACTTCTCTTCGCCATTCTTTAATTTTTGTTTTGATTGGTGATTTCAGGCAGGGATTAGCATGGACGATCCTCTGAAGCCGAAGCCAGTGCCGCTGGCCGCCGAGACGGTGCTCTGGTTCGAGTTCCTGCTCGATCCCCATAAGATAACACAGCATTTACAGCGCCCGCATCCCGGTAAGCCCGAATCACTTGTGGAATCTGTCCGACATGTAGAGATTATAACGATTCCTTACCACTTACAGAGCCCAATGCCATGGAGCTAATCATGCAGTTCATTAGCATGACGCCGGACACGGCGATGACATCCGTGGTTACGCCTGGCAGCGATTTGCAGAATCTAAACCAGGTTCCTCCGAATTCCGGACCCATTCCCGGCGTGGTTGGTGGTGCCACTGCGCCCTCAACACCTAATGCCCCTGGTGGAGTTGGCATGCCACATAGTCCACCAGGACCAGTGGAAAGTGGTCTGAAACTGACCCGAAAGCAATTGGCTCTCAAGATCCTTGAGCTCAAAGTGGCCACCTGGCTGAAGTGGGACCTGGATGCGTTAGAAAAGAACCTGCCTGTGATTATGCAACTTGCCCTGTTGCGCGATCTGTGCACCATAAGCTATGGCCTTCCATTTAGTATTCCCCTTCCTAGTGACTTTGACCTAAAGACTTGTAAGTTAATTCCTTAACCCCACCTTAAACCCATAAATAATTGTCTCCATTATTTTAGCCAATGTCGGCAATGAAAGAGCAGCGAGATTTGCCTTGACCATATACCACCGCCTGCTGCTGCGAATGCAATTGATCAAGGAACAAGCGCTTAAAGCGCCACGTCCCCAAAATACAATGTAAGAGTGATTAGTCTATCTAGACAAGCCTTTGTTTTATGGACTTTCCTTTCCAGGTACCAAACTGTAGACCAACTGCAGCAGTTTCTGGACTCCCCAACCCAACCATCCATCGAGTATTTGCAGCAGCTCTGTACCTCGGCAAAGCCCTTCTATGTATTTCATTACGATAGCTTTGTCACGCTGCAGTGCGATGATCTTGGCACTGGTCAGAACTACGAACTTATGCACCTGATTACACCCCAGGAACTGAGGGCACAGCTGCACTATGAGCTGGCCCAATATTACCTGTACACCAAGCAGTATGTTTTGGCCCGAGAAGCGGCCGCCGCCTGCAATAGTAACCTGCAGTCCATCACGCCACAGACAACGCTCTATTTCTGCCACATACGACCGACGGAACTCGAGGGCCTGCTACAAGCGTGTGGAATCAGCGCCCAGGAGCAAACACTCTTAGAAAAGTTTCAGCAATCTCTGCTTAACAGCTATACAGATATTGTGCCCATTCTGAGGTTAGACAACAAAGCACGGGAGATTCCTCTAGTGAACCGGCGGCAACTGGAACTTGACATCGAGGGCTCAATATCCACGGGTTTACTCAAGGAAACAGTTCAGCTGCAACTGCAGGTAGCCGCCTTGAATGTGGTGCGAAACATCTTCGAGTGGGGCAGCATCTTTGGTAGTGTGGAGTACTTTGAGAAGTACAGGGAACTTGACTGTCTCCCGCCTCTAGTGGAGGCTTTGCAGGAAGTTCTGCCCCACTGCAGTTTCAAAGAACAGGCTGCACTTAAACACTTTCTTATCGACTGTTTGCTACATCAAAGCTCCCAGCCACGACAATTGCTGCAAACTGTGCGAGGATTTGGACTATTCTCAGCAGATGAACTACAAGATCTCGACGAACAGATGCTCCAGGCGGCGCCGCCAGTGCCCACCAACTCATTAGCATCACTAACCGACTGGATGTGTCACTCTAAGAGTAAGATACTCCACTTTTTACACATATACTGTACATAATGTTCTCATTCTCATTTTGTAGTGAGTCGAGTGGACGTGGGAGCTCTGGAGCGTCAACTGATTAGCTGTACTAATGCCAATACAGTAAGGATTCTACTGGTGAAACTATGTGGAACTGCTCCTGGCAAACCCTTGTGGGCCATTAATCCCAGTTGGGATGTTCCACAGCCTCTGAAAACACTTATTATGGCCATGCCAGTGAGCTTCCTACAAGACTTTAGTTATGTTCTGCTGGGCAAATCGCGGGAGTTGGCGTTAAGAGGCAATTACATCGAGGCCGTTTCGATGCTAAGCGTTCTGAAGTCAGAAACGCAGCGCCAAGAGATGGCGGCAAATGTCCAGCTGATGTGTAAGCTTCTCACCTGGGAAATCCTTCACATCCAAATAACACAATGTCTGGAGGAATGGCACCAGAAACCGTTGGACCTACAGTCCATGGGAGGAAGATGCAAACAATGTCTAGGAGCACTGCAAGCGGGTGATTCAATCATCCCACGACCGGATATCCTAGAGAGCTGCGCCATCATGCTGCTTAATCTTACGGAATTCGCACCTCTTTTATACCTAGACAAACGAACAGCTCCTTTGGAACTGTCCCTAGCCTTTGCTGCCACCTTTATTGAGATGGAAAAGATGAAAGGTCCCAAGAAGGTGTGCCGTGATTCCTGGGAACTGATGCTTAGCATGTTCCCCACCGCTCCAAAGCGCGGCTATACAGGAGTTAGCTGTATCAGATCACTGCAGGCTTTCCTGCAGCGAATCCGGCACCAAAGCGTTTTCGGTCTTGCTATCTCAATGATAGGCAAGATCCACAACATCCTCAAGGACGACCCCAACCATGATTTAAGCTGCGAGTACATGCAACTGTGGCCCACCAGCATTAACAAGTGAGTAGATTGACAGTTGAAAAGTTACTTCGTAGAACTAATCACTATATAAACTTTTAGTCCCGTCGGCTATAGTTTAAGGAGCGTTTGTGAGACCCTACAGTGGCTTCTATCCGAGGCTCTATCCTTCTATCCGCAGACCATTTCCTGGTTAAAAATGAAGGGCGATCTGGATCTGGCTATCGGCAACAATGAATCCGCAATGCGCTGCTACGTAAATGCTCTGGTCACTGGTACGGATTACTGCACTATGCCGCTTCAGAGGAATGTGGCTGACGACTATGTCATACGCAAAATGATTCGATGTGCAGCCAATCTGGGCTGTCATATGCAGGCTACCGTTCTGTGTCAGTTTCTTGATGAGATCGACTACGGCATTGTATTTAAGAATCTCAGCGAGAAATCGTCGAACTTTACGGATGCCATGGATGCATACTACAGCTGTATTTGGGATACAACGCTACTGGAGTTCATCGTTAATCTGCATGCGAAACGAGGTGAACACAGTCGGAAACTCGAAGCGGTAGGGTTATTTAAAATTTTAATTTTTAAGTAATTAATAATCCCATTTCTTTTTTCTCCTTAAACAGATATCTATGATGGGCACCTTAGAGCTGAATGCGAACAACAACGAGGAAATCAAAAGAGAGTGCGCTATGGTGCGGAAATCACGATTCTTGCGCGCCTTGGCCAAGCAGTATTTGCTGTAGTCGCAGCCACACAGTCCAAACTCACATTCAAAATCCAATATCCATAATCCAACATCCCAACCTCACCCGCGCCCTCAAGCAGACCAACTAGCATTAAGCTCAAAGATGTAGTTTTTATTGTATGCATAGGCTTTAAATATGGTTAAGTTAAAATTAAAGAATTGTACGTTTTTCGAGATAAGAACAGGGTGTTACTACTTGGGTCGCCTACCTCGTGCACCACCACCGGCACTAGTCTTAGCTTTCTTATTATTGGCGCTCTTTTTAGCATCCTCGGCCTTTCTTTTGGCGGCATTATTGGCATTTGGAGTGCTGGGCAGGGTCTTAAAGAAGCTATCGAGTCGTACCTGGGTCTGTGCCTGCTTGGATTTCAACAGTTTCTTAGCTCCGTTTCGAACGCGTTCTTCGCTGAACTGCCGGTCGCCGCAGAGGAACTTCACTAGGCCCTCCTCATCCGGTTCGACCCACTTAAGATCAATGGCCTCTGCATTGGCTACCTGAGGCTCGATGAAGAGTTCACGGGCCACTTTGTAGTTCCAGTTCTCGGGCACTGTGTACTTGCTGGTGTCCAAGTTATCTAGTATGGTCTCAATATCTCTGTAGTTATTGATTAGCTCGATGGCCCGCTTCGGTCCGATTCCCTTGATGCTCTCGCAATAATCACAACCTAGCAGGATGCAGAGATCAATGAATTCTCGGCTGTTGATAGACAGACCTTCCAGCAACTTCTCGTAGCTGAACTCCTTGACAGGCATCTTGCGTGCCTCGCTGTAGGTGAGATAACGCAGAAGTTTTGTGGAACCAAAGGTGAGGGCATCCATATCCTCTGTGGCAGTGGCGTAGACCTTTCCTGCTTTAACAAGAGCAGCACACTGAGCCTCCGCCTCGCAGGGTGCATCCACATAGGGTACACCCATCAGACTAAGCAGTTCCTTGGCTTCCCTGGCGTGCTCCTTGGTCACCCGGACCAATCTGCGATTGAATTTTTCGATCTCAGCATCATCTCCCGCATCGGTGGCAGCCTTCAATGCTTTTTCCGCTTCCTCCCGCCGTTCGGCACGCTTGGCCAGCTCCCCGGACTTTAGATCTGGGGGCTTCCCATCAAAAACGTATACCGGCTTAATTCCATTGTCCAGCAATCGAATAGTGCGGTAGAACATGCCCATCAAATGCGATGTGGGATCGCCATTAACAGTGGCCAACTGCGCGCCTTCGGAGCGCACCGCAATAAGAAACTGGTACAGGCACATACTGGCATCAATTGCCACTTTCCGACCTTTAAAATACAAGATTTAAATTAAAATGCATTTCTAATTTTAACCACAAATTAACTCACCAAAAAAGTTCTTTATTTCACTTTCGCGAATGGCCTGCGGAGCCAAATCCGCAATAAGCTTAGATAAGCCTAGAATTCCCATAGCGGTTTGTTGCTCACTAAACACTCGTAATTAGTTAAATATATAATAGAAGCCAGCGATTTACTAAATTGTTTTGTTTGCAAAAACACGCCGCGCGCTTTTTTAGCACATAGTGTGACCACCTTCTTTATCATATAGAATGCCATAGCTTGGGTTCAAAAGCAAAAGACGAGAATAAATTATTTTATTTTATTGATACTTTAGGTGAAGAGTATAACATTTAAGTAATTTTTTTGCTTAAGGGTTACTTGTTGCGAAATTGTTTTTTATTCCTCTGAGAGAATTCCGCAAATTCTCCTGTTTTCCGAAATATCCCAGGTCAAGAAACATCTCAAGCTTTTTATTAAATTGAGTGTTGTCTTAAGCTTGTCAAATTTTTTGTTTTTAATTTTGCCTATTGATGTTTTGACTTCATAACCAGTGTGATGAAAATTCTGTACATTCCGCTATTACCAATAACAAAAATATACCATAATATATACGATATGAGTTTGTACATTCCGCTATTACCAATAACAAAAATATACCATAATATATACGACATGAGTTGAAAAAGACGAGTTAAGTCCAATCAAAAAATACAAAAACATGAATATATTAAGGAAATACCAACTAATTTCTACTAAAATTTTATATATTTTTAAAAGCGCGCCAAAATTGAGCACGGAAAAATGCACCCATTATCTGGTTCCGGTATTTTTTAGTGCTTGCCGCTTGCGATACTATCGATTGTGACACCTCTTCAGTGACCAGATTGAATGTGTGTCGGCTGACGGAAAAACAGAAAAACCATTAGAAATATGGTATGTAAAAAGTTAAAAAATGTGGGAAAAGGCGCCGGAAAGTTTCTACCGGCGTTGTGAATTGAAAACGGCGGAATTGCTAACGAGTTTTGTGTGTAAATAGAGCGCAACAAATAATCCGCGAGGCAAATAGCCAGACTATCGGTTCTCTCCCGCCGTTCGTTTGTGTGTATAAACATGGCGTCGTTGTGGCTCGAGATGGCAAAGCGAGTGGGTGCGAGCGAGACAACCAGTGTGTAATAGTGCGCCTCATAGATTTGCAATGTTGTTTTTTCTATCGTTTCTCTCTCGCTCTCTCTCTCTCCCTCCTCGGAGAAGACACGCATACACAAACTCGCAACCGCCGAAGAAACTCACACTAATATTCCGATTCGATTATAAAAAAAAGGGCACCAATATTCATGGTAGTGGCCGCCAAAATATTAGCAAGTGTAATCCAATTGTGACTTTATATCTTTCCATGGAATCACCGAATCTAAAGGATGCTAACAAAGCGGCAGAAACGGCAGCCAAAGAAAATGCCGCCGATAAGGTAAGCGAGGTGGAAAATGCAACAACGGTGGTAGCGGGGGAGGCGAAAGTCGAGGGGTCCCCGGAAAAGGGGACCAAAGATGCAGCCGAGTCCCCTGCCGCTGATGAAAACGACGCCGCTGCTGCCGCCACTGATGACGTCGCTGATAAAAAAACCAAAGGAGACGCAACGGCAGTTTCAAAAACCGAATCGGATGCAGGTAAATACAAAATAAAAAATAAAAGCCAAAGCCACGCGCACACAATTACAACATATCTACATAAGTATGTGTGAAGAACGAGAGAGAAAAACAAAAATGATGAAATGAATTTTGCGCGCGTTTCAAAAACGCGCCGAACTTTTATATCTTATTCTCTCATTGGGAAAGCTCTCTCTCTGTCTTTTTCTCTCCTACTTTCCTGTTGGATTTTGGCTACTTGTTGGGAGAGTTCTGCTGTGGCGCAGTGGTCTAGAGCGCCGTTCTGTTCGTCTGTTGTTTATTGTGTTATGTTGGCATGTGGGTTCGATTCCAACTCCTCTCCTCTTGGGTGAATAATGTTTACAAAATATGTTATTTGAAATTTTATTAGGCATATTCTTTCCTCTCTATTTCTTCCCCTTTCCTTGGCAATTGTTCATGCTAAATCCTTTAAATGGGTTCTGCGTAGTTAACGCTAAGGTACAGCAAAACTTCAGTATTCATAGTTCCTTGCGCTCCCAAAACAAATTAGCATTGGACTTCCCAAGGTTGAAGATAATTTTATTTTAGAAATAATTTTTTTTTAAATTACAAATTGTTTTTTTTTTTTTTAAAAAAGCTGCGGCGGACAAAAAGGAGAAGTCTCCCTCACCGGCAGTGAAGAAATCTAATAGTAAGGATGCCAAAAAGGAGGAGAATTCGGAAAAAGAAGATGAGAATACGGAGGACGGTGATGAACCGGAGGAGGAGGACGATGACGAGAAGGGCAGCGATGCTGAAAGCGAGAAAAAGAAATCAAAATCTGAAGCTGAGGATAAGAAAAAGGATGCCGCAGATGAGGTCAAGCCAAAGTCCGGAGCGGAAAAGGCCAAGAAACCGGAGCCAAAAGCTAAGAATGGCAAGGTGGCCAAAGAGGAGGACGACGAGGAGGATGACGAGGAAGATGAGGAGGCGGAAGATGGTGACGGAGACGAGAACGATGGCTTAGACAAGAACAACGAGGTGGCCGAAGATGATGAGAATGTCGTGGCCCTGGCCGAGATTGATCGCATCAACGAGAACATCAACAAGACTCGCGTGGATGGTCTGCAGACCTTGCATGCGGTAAGCTATGAGAGAATCTAAAATCAAAAAACAATTCTTAATTATTGCAATCCTTCTTTACAGCTCTGTTTCGGTGCTCAGGGAAAGAACAATGTGGTTAAGAAGAATTTGCGCTCCTTTGCTGGCTTTGAGTTTGCCAAGGATTCGGCGGAGTACAACAAAAAACTAGATGCCATTAAAAAGGTTGACAATAAGGGCCTGCGCAGCATCTGCGAGATCCTTACTCTCGATCGCAAGGGCAGCAAGAACGAGACTGTTTTGCGAGTGCTCAAATTCCTAATGGAACCTGACGAATCGCTTTGCTTGGAGCAGGGTGATGATGAGGAGGAAGATCCTGAGGACGAGGATTTGGATGAGGATGAGGATCCACCCAGCGAAGAGGATAAAAAACGCAAGAGCGGAAAGTCGAGCGGAAACGCTGGCAGAGGCTCGGCACGCAATTCCACCGGACGTCCCAGACGTTCTACGGCAGGAAAAAGTAGGCAAATCTAAATCTTCAGAAGTTTACACATCTTAATACTTTCCTTCTATGCTTTTAGAAATGTCCGCCTATGTAGATTTCTCTAGCTCTGAAGAGAGCGAACAGAAAGTGGCAGTGCCGAAGAGGAGACGCAATGACGACTCTGAATCGGGTTCAGACGTAAGCTTCTAACTTTCCCAAGAGACTGAAAATATAATTTATTATATTGCTTTTTTATTTTTAGTATAATCCCTCTGGCAATTCAGACTCCGATGGTGGTCGTGGTGGTGGTGCTGGTGCAGCAGGTCGGAAAGCCCCAAGTCGCGGCCGACCGGCGCGCAAAAGTCGCAGAAGAAATTCTGATTCCGAGGAGGAAGAGGAGTCTGAAATATCCGAAGCTGATAGTGATGTAGGTCTACAATGAAATTATAATGAATGGTCTTTACTGAAATGCCTAAACCCTTAGGTCCCAAAACGTAAACGCGGTGCTGTGGGCAAACGAGGACGACCAGCAGCTCCGGCGTCAGCTGGACGAAGAGGTCGAGGACGTGGAGCAGCTTCACGAAAGCGCAAAGATTCAGATAGTGAAGAGGAGGAGGTATCTGAAGATGAAGAGGAGGACATCTCTGATTTTGGTAGCGATCAAAGCGAAGTAAGTCCATGAAGTTCCAATCAAGAACCTGACTTTTATAATACCGATGTATCTGTTTTCCAGGAGGAACGTCCCAAAAAGAGTAAGAAGCCCACTACGCCTGCGAAAAATAGCAAAGCTAATAACAAGTCAAAACCAGCTGGAAAGGGTATGTGAATACAAAAGATAAATAAATCGAATACATAATTATTCTTTTATACATAGCCGATGGTCGAAAAAAATCAAAGAAAGAATCGTCCGAGGAAGAGGATGATGCCGATGACAAAGATGAATCCGACGAGGATGAGCCACTAACCAAAAAGGGCAAACTGGCATTCCCAACGGTTAGTAGGCAATACTTAATACCATTTATTTTAATAGCTAATCAATCTCGAAATTATAGGATGAACAAATTCGCGGTTATGTAAAAGAAATCTTAGATAAAGCCAATCTGGAGGAGATAACCATGAAAACAGTGTGCAAGCAGGTGTACGCGAAATATCCAGACTTTGATCTAACAGACAAGAAAGACTTCATTAAGGCCACAGTCAAAGCGGTAAGTTAAGAATATGTCTAAAATTATTTGATTAATTAATAAATTCTCCTCTTTGTAGTTAATTGCGACATAAAACCACGTAGAAACAGAGGCACTTTGAAGACGGGGAAGGGTCCAGGTTCTGTAGTCAAACAAAGCATAGTGTATGCCGAGACAGAAGAAAGATGGGCATGGTTTGCGAAATGTCACTCTTAGTAGTTGTCCTATAAGTATATGATTTGTACTCCTATCCTAAAAGCTATCTGCAGTTAACCTTAATCCTAACGTCGGCGGCAGTAGACTTTCCATTCTTTATATATATTCATCTGTATATATAACTTTTGATTTATCTAACCTAACACACGCATACACATCATTTTCTATTTTCTTGAAAGTATGTGCTCTCGACAGCTCTGCAAAAAGTGTGTAAATTAAGCAAAGAGAAACTTGTAAAAATCCGATAAAAAAAAAACGAAACAAGAAAACTAAACTGTAGTGCATTTTGATTTGACGTTCAACAAGAAATTATGTATTTAAAATTAAGGCACACGAAATAATAAACAAAAAACAAAATTAAAAATTGATAAAGGCTTGGAATATTATATCTAAAATTCACACACTGGCAGCAGTACAAAAAACGAACGAAAAAAAATTGAAACTTTTTAAAATTTATACATTAACAAGAAATTGATTCTTTTGGGCGAGAGTAATTTTAAGGCACACTAAAGCGGAGCTAGTGATTCTAATTATTAGCAGATGTTTCCGATATAATTTGAAACCCATTTCGATACCCCCCATACCCCAAATCTTGTTTAGCTTAAGTGCTCGGACCCCAGTGTGATTGAGGATTGGAGAAGGTTTCTCGGCTAATTAACTAGAGACAAGCTCACACCGAAAATGTGAGTAAAATAAACAAACAGAAGATTGAAAAACGGAATGAGAAAATGAATAAAGTTATATATTATAAATATTAGATATTTACAAGGTAAAAATAGATGTATGTTAATTTTAAAAGGGAAAAGAGAATAGAAGAAAAACTGAAAATCCAACGAAAAGTTGAATTGCCAGCAAAAGAAAAAAGAAAATCCGTTTAAATATTATTATCACAGCCGCATCTCAATGTAAGTTCTCTTGTAGTAAACTCGTAAAAAAAAAGAACAAAAATGTCAAAAGCAAAATAAGAACTTTAAAACAAATCCACTAAATGAAGAAAATCAGTTTAGCCCCAAAAATTGGCAACTAAGCTATATACTCTTATGCATTCTGTTCTGTTTTAACTTTGAATGTTCGCTGCAAAGTTCTAGAGGGACAAAACAAAAAGAATGCAGTGTATCAGTAATAAAATGCTACAAAATAAAGGAAGTATTTATTATTCTCGGGATTGGGATGAAAATTATGCGATGGAAATAGGTACTCAGTGATCTCAAAAGATCCATAATTCCAATTATCTCTAATTTCGACGAAAAAAAAGGTTTTATTTTGTGTTGTGAAATGGGGAAGTTTATTTAGAAAATTTAATTTTTCAATAATGACATTTAAGACTAATACTTAATTGAATTTAAACGGTTTAAAATGTATTAAAAAATTAGTCTAGTTTCTGTCAGGGATTTGACCAGGAAGCTATTGCGCAGACAAAATGCTGAAACATACAGATAGTCAGTTATGATTCAGATATATAATATATTGGTAAAAAAAAAAAATGAGGTTAATATATATATGAAAAAAATTGAAAAATTTCGGGACACAAATACATATACATATATGTCAATGAGGATATAATATATATAATGAGAATACAGAAGGAGGAATGAACTTTTCTCTCAATTGGTCCTGCAAATAGATCAAAGCACGTAATTTAAATCAAATAAATGGAAATGTATGCAGAAATGTAAATTTCAAAAATATCATTTGATTGCAAAATAAACGGCTTGACATTGGACCCAAATAAAATGCTTAAAGGAATAGGTTATTAAACATACTACACGATATGTTATAGATGCTTGGGTCATACTTACCTTTGGTTACGAAGAATCGACACCTTTTGCTAGAATGAAAAGAAGAAAAGCGACTTCCCACAACCATTTAAAAATTGGGCTATTCCTTTTCAAACTGCCATAATAATAACTTGTTTAAATTGTTTCAATAGTTTGTTTTCCAAAAACCTGAGTTACTCTTAATATACCAAAAGTATAGTAAATATATATATATATAGTATACGAAATATGGAAATCTATAAATATAGGACAGGCTTGGGAGCCAATGTTAACCGCTTATATAGCAAAGCAAATGATACCTTCGAACGATATTTTAATAATATACAGCACTGAACTGATCGATAGAGAGCACTGTGTTCGGGAAACTAAATATCGTTGCTGTTGATAGGAAAATATTTAGAAATACATAAATATATATATATATCAATTTCACAGAATAGTATATAGTATACAAAAATTATTCAGGATAGTCTAATATGGGTATATATATTTCATATATGTGCAGTTTGATATTAAAAATGTTACTCCAATATGGTTCAAAGCATACCTAATGTGGCAATCAATCGACCAATCTCTGCGACAAGTTAAAATCCCGTCCCGATCCCCAAGATCTCTCTTCCAGAACCTCTGAAAATACGCTCAATAAACGATTTTCAAATGTGGTATAAGCAATCGGCTTATCAATTGATAAGGAATCAAGTAAGATCGATAAAGTCGACGTCCCGACTTTCTGATACCCGGTACTGCTTTGAGGTAGGAAGATTACTTCTTTAAAAGTACAATAAGGCAAACCAGACTAACAGAAATATTATACCTTTTGCCAATAAAAGTACCGAGTATAAATATAAACAATAGAAACGCATTAGAAAGCACATAACCAAGAGGTTCTGAGCTGGCATTATATGTATATGGATATATATTATACGGTATATATTAAATGTTTATTCAATGTTTTGCCGACTGCAAGGCAGATCAGGATCTGGATCTGGTGGTCCCGAACTCTGAGCCTACCCAGCTGGACAACGTTTACAATATGATTCATCATCTGCTGTTGCAACAATCAGATATTTTTGGGGAGACGTAAAACTTAGTTTAGTTATTATATGTCAAAGTTTAGTTTATAAATAATGGTAGACCTACATTCATTTTGGGTAATTATTCATTGTTTGATTTGCAATATGTATAATTTAATAGACAGTAATAACAACACACGATCTTACCAAGTTTGACACTTTTACAATATATGGTTTTGTATATCTCATCATGTTTGTTTTTGTTAGAGTGTGAAAAAGTTTTGGGGTTTGATATCGTAATTGTGTTATGAACTGGTCTGAAGAGCGGCCTCTGAAAGTACATACTATATATGTTTGCATTTTGATGATATAAATATTGCAATAGCCAAGATTATCCTGCTCATAAAATAGTTCATTCAATGGTAAATTGTATTATAATTGAAAAAATACAAATATATAGATCATGGAATAATTTGAAATTCAATAAAGTTTCGTTACATGATCATCACAATAATGATCTGATGGGTTGTTATCCGGAACTGAAATATGAGAATATTGTTATGCAAAATGTCACATCAATTAAACCAGGCCCTCTCTCAATTGACTCAAATGTGATATAAAGCGGTTCGGTTAAATCTCAAAAATCTTACCAGATCAGCAGACTTAGTTGATCATGTGTAAATGGCAATTATATAATGTTGAAATTATTCTTGTTTTTATTATTATAACTAAGCTAAGTACGTGAATAAGGATCCATGTATTAAAAATGTTCTATATCTTTAATGCGGTAAAAAATATGCGATTATACTAATGATATAGTATTTCAGTTATTGCAATTGATCAATTTCCACGATTGGTGTCTTTCAAAAAGTAAAACACCCACTGCGGTTCCTTCAGGCTGGGGCACATTTCATGGCCTGAATTGATGGTGAAAGAAATATATATATATATGCTATATGCTATAGATATATGCAGATGTGTACACAAATAAATGAACAAAACACCCAAAACGGATTCAATTAGATTCTCTTAGTGTGTCTGTGCAAATGGTGAACATGAACAGCAAGAGCATTAACTTTCATTCGGTCGGGCTTCATGTATAAATAGTAGGTAAATGTAGACTTAGGATCTCAGGGAAATCGCTTACGAACTATTGTGGGGAATTATAGGCATATATAGGCATATTAATTTACATTTATGCAAAAGTGTGACGCCTCAAGTCAAATGTTTCACTCTCCGATTGATTGGCTCTGATTGATCCGGCTCCACGACTGATCTCTCTCCACCCTCCAATTCTGCCGTATGTTGTCTGTCTGGTGATGCTTCTGCTTCTACTTCTGCTATTGCTGTTGTTATTGCAATTAAAAATCATTTTCTTACATGATTTGCTAGTTTTGTGGGGGGATAAAAGACATAGGACATAGTAGAACAATAGATCACTGCAAAGAGTTTTACGCATGGTAAACAAGAATTGGTTAGGATATAGTTAACAACGGATCAGAACATTTTCCCATTAAGCCTACGAATTTGCATTTGGAAATAAAATGATAATCATCTTAAACAAATATAGGAGTATATAAATTACATAGTAAATGTGTAAGAAACTAAGAAATAAATAACGATTATAACAGATGATTATCATTCTCTACACCGAAAATTTCGATATAGCCCATGATGAAAACATATATTTGCTTAATTGGAAAACTCTGAGCCAAGTATATTATTCTGATAACAAATGTTGGTATAGTAGAGAGGGGAAAAATTGATTTATAAAACTATGCAAGCATTTAGAAGTAGATGGGTAAAGCAATAAATACGTAAAGCAATATTCAAAGGTGGCATTTCAATTCAAATCGATTCATAATAACACTCCACTGACAACTACTGAATATGTCTTGGATCGTAAACTTACCCCATGCAAGGCACCTGCATCGTCCTCCGACCATAGCATCTTCCACTTCGGCGTTCGCTTCCAATCCCACATACATCTCCTTCCCGCTCCCGTTCCCGATCACACCGCACGTTCTCAGTGTTTATCGTTTTTGTGCGGTTTCTGCTGCTGCTGTTGCCCAGGCGCACCAGGATAACCGCCATAGCCACCACCAGGATAACCTCCAGGATAGCCCGCCGGTGGTCCACCTCCTTGCCCACCGACAGGTTGAGGCGCTCCCTGTGGCTGACCACCAGCTGCAGCCGCCGCCGCATAATACTGCGAATATTGTGCGTACTGGCTGGGCGTCATGCTTTGACCATAACCACCGGCTGCCGCTGCAGCAGCAGCTGCTGCCGCCGCCGCAGCGGGATTGGGCTGCTGTTGACCGGGATTGGGACCGCCTTGGTTGGGATTGGGCGCATTGTTCTGGCCACCCGCTGCTCCATTTTGTGGCTAAGATATTAGATTTTATTAGACCGTTTCTCATATGAGGGAAAGTATATTATACCCACCTTATTCTTTAATGTCTTTTCGATAGCCTCGGCTTCTTCAATCTTGCCTACGCTGCGGTAGTACTCCGCCCACTGGGCACTGTAGTCGGCTCCTCCGCCACCGGCACCTCCTTGCTGCTGTTGGGATTGTTGTTGCTGCTGTTGTTGCTGTTGGGGCTGCTGCTGCGGCTGGACAGGACCTGAGGCTCCGCCAGCTTGCTTTGCTTTCATTTGTTGCTCAATCATTTCAGCCTCTCGATGACAACCCATTTGTCTAATAAGAAAAAATTAAGGTTAATGAACCCCCTTCCAAAATCAAGCTAGACATGCTTACTTGTAGTATTCTATCCACTGTGCCGAATAGTCTTGACCACCACCAGCTCCTCCCGCTGCTCCTCCTCCTTGATTGGCCATGACCATTTGTTGTTGTTGCTGTTGCTGCTGACCGGACGGATCCCATCCCTGCTGTCCGTATGGACCACCCCAAGGCTGTTGTTGTTGATAACCTGCTCCTGAGTTCGGATCACCACCCGGCATCTGATTCTGTCCACCATATCCGCCCTGCTGATTGTGGTGTGAGTTGTTCTGACCACCGTTTCCACCACCACCGCCAGGACCACCGCCGATGGGCTTGCGGGATATGACATTCAGTTCCATATTTATCTTCTCTGAGATCATTTGGCGGGCTGCCTCCACCTGATCGGTGGTGCCCTTGGATTTGAAGAGTTTCTCATTGGGCGGATTGCTAGCATTCCGATCCATTTCGGTGTGGGCGCCAGATTGCTGATTTATCAACTTAATGGTCTCACCGCCGCGACCAATTACAATCTGCAGAGAGTTTTAAATTTAGAAAGCTTAATAATTTTGGCGGACCAATTTTTGAACCTACTCCACATTTCGAAGCGGGCACTAGGAATGTTATTTCCTCACGTCCACCTTGTGCATGATTAACGCCATATCCATAGCCGTAGTTTGAATTGCCGGAGTCGCCACCCGGCCCTCCGCCGCCTCCATTTCGATTCATGCCATTACGTTGCTGTAAAATCAGAGATTATTTTTAGTTGCAGAAAGGGAAGGGATAAATAACTTAACCAGGGCTTCCTGACTTACCATAACATTCTCAATTAATCCATCAATGGTGCGCTTAGCATCCTCGACCTGCTGCCTAGTGCCCTGGATGACGCATCTACGATCACCCATCTCGTCGTTCTTTCCTTGGATGAATTGGAGTTTGCATCCGCATTCGGTTTGGATCTTTCGGATCATGTCACCACCCTTTCCAATAACCACGCCAACTGCTATCTTGGGCACAAAGACTTCAACACTCTCGCCGCCATTGCCATTGTTAAAGTTATTGAATCCCATGCCAGGACCACCAACACCTCCGCCAGGACCTCGACCACCCTGCTGCTGGGACTGAGCATCCTTCTGTGCGATGAGTTCGAGAACCATTTGCTTGGCATGCTCTATCTTCTGCGCCTCGCCGGAAATTCGAAGCGGTTTGATCAGCTCCTGATTAGGTCCGTCTTGGATAATGATCATCTTGGCGCCGGTCTTTTCCTGCAACTGTTTAATGGTGTCCCCACCCTTTCCAATAACCAAGCCAACCTTGGCGCCAGGAATCATGATCTCCTGATGCGGCGGATAGCCGTTGGGTCCCGGTGGCGGCATGTTAATGGTAAGCAGCACTTCAACCTGTCCACCGCCAGCCCGATTTGCCATGTTCTGAATCATTTCACGGCCCTTCGTGACTGTATCACGTTGGCCACGCAGCATGATCACACGATCCTGATCTTGCATGACCTGTACCTTCACACCGGTCTCTGCCTGTAGGTGGGTGATGGTGTCATTGCTAGATCGGCCCATAAAAGCACCGGCCACCGATTCGGGTAGTCGGATCTGCTCCTCGCAAATGGTTCCTGCGGAGGCGGCCAACCTTGCGGCCACCGCTGCTGCCTGGGCAATTGCTTGACTGATACTAGCTCCTCCCTGACCGCCACCACCACCACCGCCACCGCTGCCACTGCTCATGTTGGGGCTGCTGTTGCCGTAGTCGGGACTGCCGAAGGATCGCTTGGATTCCGGACCGCTGTCACCGTCATCGTTGTGCCGTTTGAAGCTTGGTGCACCGCCCCCAGAAGCCGGTGGCGATATACCAGCTGGGCCTCCCCCCTGCTGACTTGGTTGTATTTTGGCCGCAATCTGGACGAAAATTTGAGAGATCCGGATTTGATATATACTTATACACACATTTCCGCTTCTTCCTCTTCTTAGGGGAGCTCACCTGCTTGGCACGCTGGATTGCCTGCGCTAGTGCCTGGGAATGGTTCATACTCGCTTGCTGTTGGAAATCGCTCATCTCGGTATGTTCTATAATATCAGACATCAAAATCTATTCTATGTGATTTGCTTTTTTCTTTAGTCAAGCGAAGCCCTGCACGAGTTGAAAATTCAATAGATGAATACGGTGGCGAGTTTTTTACAAACGCCGCGTCTTGGGATAAGTCGATCCTTTGCACATTTGTCGACTGTTCCTTAGTTTATTTTTAAACAATTTTTGTTGCTTACTTGTTTAGCTGCGTTTTTTCAACGGTTTAAACACGTTATTTGCACTTTTCTTTCGGCTTTGCGGTGAAAATTATGCGTCTGCAAAAAACTTGTGTAGCATTATAACTATATTAATGGCGTTTTTTCGCCCCTGGATTTTCTTTGGAAATGACGAATGGTCATACTGCGCACAAAGAGTAACGACCTAATTAGGTTATCCACCAAGGGTTGAGTCCAAACTTTTGGTACATGTGAACGGTCATACCGAACACAGCCTAGTCAAGTTTATCACCACTAGTTAAGTCCGTGGTTTTAGTATATTTACGGTCCAGTATTTTTAGTTAATAGCTAGCCCACGGTTACACTGTTCTTCTTTCGTCGGCAACGTTGCGCAGCGCACGGCTACAGATTTGTTAAACGCGAATTTACCCCACAAAAACGCATTTAAAATGGCTTTTGGTGATGTTAAGACCCCGCAAGGACTGAAGGAGTTGAACAACTTCTTGGCCGACAACAGCTACATCAGCGGGTAAGCACGCGGCGAAAAAGTGAGGTTAAACATGATCTCACCACGTCGGCAGATAGCAATATTAGAATTTAGCATATATTAATTAAATTTATCAACCCAATTTCTATAGATATACTCCCAGCAAAGCCGATCTGTCCGTGTTCGAGGCTTTGGGCAAGGCCCCTGCTGCCGACAATGTGAACGTTGCTCGTTGGTACCGTCACATCGCTTCCTTCGAGGCCGCTGAGCGTGCCGCCTGGGGTGGTGCTCCTCTGCCCCAGTTGGCCGGTGGCAAGCCCACAGTGGCCGCCCCTGCCAAGCCCGCTGCTGCTGATGATGACGATGATGTCGATCTATTCGGATCCGACGACGAGGAGGATGCCGAGGCCGAGCGCATTAAGCAGGAGCGTGTTGCCGCCTATGCCGCTAAGAAGTCCAAGAAGCCCGCCCTCATTGCCAAGTCATCTGTGCTCCTCGATGTTAAGCCCTGGGATGATGAGACTGACATGAAGGAGATGGAGAAGAATGTCCGCACCATCGAGATGGACGGTCTGTTGTGGGGCGCCTCCAAGCTGGTCCCTGTGGGCTATGGCATCAACAAGCTGCAGATTATGTGCGTCATCGAAGATGACAAGGTCTCCATCGATCTGCTGCAGGAGAAGATCGAGGAGTTCGAGGACTTCGTCCAGTCCGTCGACATTGCTGCCTTCAACAAGATCTAAACATCTGAGATTTTTATATTGTGAATAAACCTGAGCAAAGCGAACTAAGAAGTAGATGTTTTTTCTTGTATTTGATTGATGTCAGAGAAAGCAGACTTTGTCTAATCCAGTCATGATCTATAAAAATTAGGAATTCTGCATGATATGTCAAATTTAACTCCGGTTTAAAAGTATAGAGTACGGGAGAGGAGCATTCAATCTATGTGATTTTTCTCAATTTCTAGAATTTGTACTTCCAAGATCATAACTAAAATAATTATATTATATTCGTCGCATAGTGTAGACTCCTTAGGGTATACTTTGAAAATCTAGCCAAACAATCTTAGCTAAGTATCTCTTAAGAGTAGCTCTTGCTCCCTCGAGTTCGTTGCTTTAGTCTTTTGTTTTTGAGCTTTCAGTGAGCTTTTGCAAACAAAAAAGCCAAGTTCCTAGCATTTCGAGCTCAGTTGATCGGGCGGCTCGATAGAGTTCGGTTGTATATACAAAACTTGGAACAAACTCTTTAGCGGTTCTTTTGAAATAAATCTTTTTCGGGCAAAAGTACCTATTAATTATGGCTGCCAACAAATTGTACTGCACTTTGGCTATTGGCGCTCTTTTGTGCCTGGGACTCGCGGCTCTCATTCAAGCTAATGGTAAGTTAAATATATATATAAATAATTATATATTTTTCGGGCGGGAACATTTGTTATTGTTCTCGAAACGAATTTGTTACGCATTTGCTGAGTTTTGCTTTTTTAACACGAAACACAAATACCTGAACGTCTGCATTCATTAACATTAATTAGCAATTGTATTGATATTTGTATCTTTTGTTCTGCGCCAAAGACATGTTTCGTTCTTAAACGGATTTCCCAGATACATTTATCCATCCATCGTGGTTGTCCGCATTTGCATATAACATCTAGTATCTGGAGGTTGACAAACGTCCGTTAATAGTCGGGGGTTTCGGATTGCTTTTCAGATTTGATAATCGCACATCTATCATTTGATACACGGGCCGTTGTTTTCAATAACGCAAAATTGCCATTGAAATTACTTCCGATTTTTATTTGCCCATTACATAAAGCGGAAATTAATTGGTTGTATCTTTAAATAATTATCTATTAATCATTGACTGCAAATTGCTTCGAGCTAATAGGATTTCTGTTTAATAAACTAATAGTTTAATTACCTCAAATCATGTCGTTAACTCTAAATTTCTCGTGTAAAGGATGTAGTTTATTTTTTGAAAATTTCCCCCGAATACGGAACGGAATTTTGCAGTTCATTTCTAAACTCTATTGTTTAGCCTGACAAAAATCCCACCTTCGTGACAATTCGACTCGATGACGTCTGCTTATAAGCAAAAAGTTTGCATTATCTGTGCCTGCGTGTAGGTTATCTCTGGGCAAGGAAAAACCCAATAAAAATTTGTTTATATAAAAACAAAAACGTAAATAAAATTAATTTAGTGAAAAAAGAAGGAATAAATAATTAATTTTTAATCTTGACCCAATTCTTAGCGCCTTTGAAGATTATTTTGCATAGGTCAGTGAACTTAGAAACCTCCGAGATTAACGCGTGTGGGTGAGGCTAGAAGATTGCTTGATAGATTGATTGTTGGGCAATCTTCTCGACTTTGGCAAATTGCCAATACTCGTTGAAAACACAAAAATTTAATTACAAGAACAAGGCCTTGATAACGCCAATATATATATTGACTCATCCACGCCTACAGACTGCCGGATTTGTTCTACGGAGATGCTTCAATGTTGCCATTGAAAGTTGCAAAACTAGTTCGGTAAAAAATGAGATGGGGACGTGTGAGGCTGACAGATTTCAGGTTCATGGGCGTGCAACTCAATGGAATTTTCGTTCCTTGGGAATTATTTTTTATTAAATTTATGAATTCTTAAAATTTTATAAACTAAACGGAACCGAAAAATAAACACATTTTTACGATGTAATAAAAGATCTAAATGTTACAATTTACTGAAATATTTTTAAGAATTTTATGAATAAAACGAAGGTCTTTAAACAGCATATGCAGGGGCATTACATAAATTCTTCGTGATATTTAAAAAATATAATATTTAACCCTTATTTTTATAATTTTGCTTTTGAACTTCTAATATTTATTCTCTGTGTACTTCTGAAAATCCATAAAGCCTTTAACTTGTTATAGCCATCAAAAATCGAAACATTACCGAATGCTCTGAATAAAGCGATGACATGGTATGGGCAAAAATGTGTCACACAATTCGAGTTTTTTTTCTGAGACTGTTTAGTAAACAATTCAGCTAATCAGTAAACTAAACAGAAACTGATTATAATTAACTTTTAACCCGAAAACAGATAAGCCAGTGACTGATGTGTGCTTGGGGTGCATCTGCGAGGCCATCAGTGGTTGCAATCAAACCCGTTACTGCGGCAGCGGAGTCTGTGGCCTGTTTCGCATTACCTGGGCTTACTGGTCCGATGGCGGCAAGCTGACCTTGGGCAACGAAAATCCCCAGTCGGAGGATGGTAAGTAGCTTTTCGCTTTTTTATTAAATATTTTCCTATATATATATTTTATGAACATTAATCTTCCATTAGCTTATGCCAACTGCGTTAATGATCCTTATTGCGCGGCCAACACCATCCAGAATTACATGACCAAGTTTGGACAGGATTGCAACAATGATAACAACGTCGATTGCTATGACTTCGCGGCCATCCACAAGCTGGGCGGTTATGGATGCAAGGGCGAGCTGGGCTATCAGTACCAGACGCAGTTGACCAACTGCCTCAATTCGTTCCAGCACATCGATGTTCGCTCTACCGTTTAAGCCCATAATCTTGCTAAATTTATGTTCTAATTAAATTTAAATAATGTAATAATTAATAATTTATGGCAATGCATTTGAATTCGAATAAGTTTGCGCTATTGAGATTGATAATAAATGACATTACGACAAGGGAATAAATATAAAGCAAAGCTCTTAGGAAGGTTTGTTACTTTATTTGTTTATTTTTAAATATTTTCGCAATTCAAAATTCAAAAAGATTTTCAATAGGTAAATAGTAGATATAACCATTCCCAAAATTAAATGAAAATTCCATTCTTTACGACTTATTGATTTTTAAAAAGGTTTTTCCATAAATTGCTTTTCATTATGGCTACTTTTAATAAATATTTAGTTCGTTTTTTATATTTTATACATTTTAACTACATAAGTCTATACATAATTGTAACCAGCCTTTAGCTCAAGTTTAAAAAAATTAGAATATAAAAATATAGCATACTGTTTGGTGCTATTTTTTTTTTTAAATGAAGAAACATATTTTCTATTTGATCACGAGTTAATGCTAACAAAGACATCAAGTTTATATGGTCAAAATGCTTAGCACCCAAAAGTATACCACGTTTTCTTTCCTTTAATAAAAGGTTTAGGTTCTACTTGCTTAAAAAATAACTTTCTATGAAAAAGAAAATTAAATGATTTAGTATTTAAGACTTAGTAGTATTTAAATCCATATAAAGTGTATAAAAATTATTAGATTAATAAATATAATTTATTATATATATTTTCTAAATCAACGTTTAGGTTCGTAGGTTAGATATCATCAACCGCTTATATGGATGAGCCCTAGAAACCGGTATTACCTGACAGATTGTCGGATTTACCGGTCAAGTACTCAGTTCATTAGATTCGCTAGCACCATTCGCAGTTTCAGGTGCAGAGGTGTTGGATGCTTTGATTTTAACCAGCCGGATAATGAAAGTTTTCCTGGGATATTTTCCATATTTACTGCTTGCGCTTTCGCCAACATTGGTGAAGGGTCAAGGTGAGTTTGTCCTTCAAGATATTTATTAAGAATATAAGAATGTATATGAACAGGTCATGTGCTCGATAAGCCCGTAACGGAGCTTTGCCTCACCTGCATATGCGAAGCCATCAGCGGCTGTAATGCCACGGCGATTTGTATCAGTTCGGAAAAGGGAGCCTGCGGCATTTTTCGCATCACCTGGGCCTATTGGGTGGACGCTGGAAAACTGACTGTGAATGGAGAGTCTCCTGACTCTGAAAAGGCCTTTATCAACTGCGCTAATGATCCTCATTGTGCCGCTGACTCAGTGCAGAACTACATGCAGAAGTTCAATCAGGATTGCAACGATGATGGCGAGATGGATTGCCGGGACTATGCTAAAATCCATAAATTGGGCGCCTATGGATGCCTAGCGGATCCGCCTTACAATTATCAAAATACTTTCGATGAGTGCATTCAGAAATACGAAGATGAGGGATTTAAGTAAATTAATATCTATTAATTTTTCAAGTTAAATATCTCTCTATGTTAGTAAACTTACATTTTGTGTGGCAAATAAATAACGACCGGGAATCACCCCGGATTTAAAAGTAGACCGGTGCATTTCCTATGTACTAAACTTAGTCACTCAAACCCGATGCAGTGTTTAATAAAAATCAGTAGTCACTGCTGAAATCGTTTCAGTGGCTGAACAATCGCGAAACGCATCGAATCGGAAGTTGATCTAGCAGCTATGCATAATACGCATATATTATTTTTGTTACTTGGACTAACAGTTTGTGGCATTTCGGTTCAGGCTGAGATTTCGAAACCCATTACGGAACAATGTCTGATCTGTATGTGTGAGGCTTTGAGTGCCTGTAATGCCACAGCAGTGTGTGTGAATGGGGCATGTGGCATCTTCAGGATCACCTGGGATCAATGGGTGGATTCAGGAAGGCTGACAATAGCAGGCGATTCGCCACTAACAGATAGTTGTGAGTATTTATCTTTTAAGTTTTAAGATTTAATAATAATAAAATGTATACTCAGCATTTACTAACTGTGCCACTGATCCTTACTGTGCCGCTGATACCCTGCAAAGTTATATGGTGAAATATGGACAGGATTGCAACAATGATGAGAAGGAGGATTGCTATGATTATGCAGCCATCCATTACATGGGTCCTTTTAACTGCAAGGCGGAAAGGCCCTTTACCTACGAGAATACCTTTCAACGATGTTTGGGAAAAGCTATTCGAGATGAAAAGCAACAGAAATCCTAAGCTAAGCTACGGGGGAATGCATTTTACTTAGTATTTTTGTATGTAACTAACTTATGAGGAAGAGCCGGTGTAATTTATGTGCGAAAATTGCATAGCTAATATAGGCGTAAATATTTTTGATTAATAAATAAGTGGCTTACGGCCAACGGAGATCAGTTGTGTGGTCAACACGGCGGCAGCAGGTCGGGTTCTCGATTGTTGATTCTCGATTGGATTCAAAGCTCAGATATGCTTCGATTACTCGTCGGCTTGGCTTGTTTGTGGCTACTAGTGGACAGTGGTTTCAGCTATGATGGTAAGTGGTTAGCATCTTTATAGGTTGAGACTCTAAATAGAATTTGTAATGTAAAACCAGTGTACTATTTGTTATTTAGTACGTAGTAGAGAGTGCTCTATAATTATGGTAATCTATTAGTGTTCGCTGTTAACTAAAGCCAGTTTATCGGAATAGCTTTATACTATACATCCGCCCACTTAAACCTGTATCTTACACTAAGTTTTTAAACTAGGCTGGAAATCTAAAATATTTCTTTCAATATTCATGAATTTATTTACAGAAAATATGGTTTTAATTACGAACTTTGAACTTTATATGGGACTTTATACGTTTTTGATTAATAGTGATAAGCAAAGAAAAGTAAACAAGCAAAGTAAATAATGGAAAATTTGGTTCAGATTTTCAGCTACAACTTTATTTTACATTTTGGAACCCCTCTAAATCAGAATCTATCTATCACTTTTAATACCAAATTTTCTTTCTGTGCATTTAGTGACAAACAAACCCGTCACGGAAGATTGCCTGGACTGTCTGTGCGAAACAATGAGTGGCTGCAATGCATCCGCAATTTGTGTCAATGGGGCCTGTGGCATATTCCGGATTACTTGGGGTTACTGGGTGGAGGCGGGCAAAATTACACTGCCCACAGATACGGCACTGTCAGATGATGGTTGGTATATATATATATTTCAATTTTTTTATATATATAGACAATATCCTCTATCAGCCTTTACAAACTGCGTGAATCAGCCCCACTGTGCAGCCAATACGGTGCAGAATTACATGTTTAAGCACGGTCAGGATTGCAATGGGGATAACCACATTGATTGCTTGGACTTTGGAGCACTCCACAAGCTGGGAAATCTTCAGTGCCAGGGCGAGTTGCCCAATATCTTCGCCAAGGTCTTCTATGGATGCCTGAAATCAAAGGAACGTTTGGCCGAAAAGAAAATTTTGGAAACACAAGAAACGACGTCTTCAACATAATTGATTCTTTATTGGGGTTTTTCTTCGTTTTTTCCCCTATTTGCGGGAAAATATCTTTTTCTGTTTTTAAAACAATCCTGGTAACACATATACACATACATACATCGAAACATTGCTTATGTTTGCCGTTTGAACAGTTTCCAATATAGGTATGGATTCTATAGATTTAGTTACAGATACAGATATATATATATGTATATATATATAATATATATAGAGGGGTATATGAAAACTACTTTAATATGCTCTCTCGCTTGTTTTTGTTTTTGTAATTTGTTAGTCAACATGTTAACATACTGTTAGTACATATATTGTTATTAATATATCCGGATTCTGGGCTTACGTTTTGCTAAAGCTTGGCTCTAACATTGGCTTGCCATAGAGTGGTCATGGTTCTATATCTCAAGTTGAGGTTCTCTCTCTTTCTAATTAAGGGTATCCTGTTTAGTAGTCTAGTTATTGGAAACTTGAAAGTAAAAACTTCTATTACGGATATATCCATCAGAATCTGTTCAAATTGAAATTGTTTCAACAACCTTTTAATTGATAATGATAGAGATGAGCTGAGCTTGAGACTGTGGCAATGTTGTCGAACGAAAGGCAGCAATATTCATCATATTCTTATCATATCTCTAGTCGGTGAAGAGTTATGAAAGTGGTTAGTAAAGAAAACTAAGTGGAAGTTTCTGCTTAAAACTAAGTATTAAATAAAGGCAAAGAATTTGTGTATAAATCAGTGCTTGCCAAAGGTTTGTCGTTAATACAAAGGTTTGGCATAGTTAACAGCATGAAAAGCAAGGAAAGTTAGGAAAGCTTAATGACTTAAGATACTTTATCTAACAAATGAAATGTATAAAACATAATCTCTTTATAAGTTGTGTATACTCAAAGAGTTATTTAGTTTTCCTGTCTTGTTTTTTTTTCTTAATATTTGGCTTTAATATCTTTGATTAGAAACTTATAGAAACGATTAATGGCTAACTCACAAAATATTATCCTAAAAATACAATCAAGCTCGTTTCATATGGGTATGTTAATTTGTGTGTTGAGATGGCGATCTGATACGATCCGATACAATCTGATCTAGTTTGATATAGTACGGTTACGGGTACTTTGGTGATGGTCTTACGTCTAGAATTGCAACTGGAAATATGCGTTTTTGCTGGCTAATTGGGTTTCCTCACATCACTTTTTACTTTTCTTCACTTCTTGCTGTTACCATCGTTGGCTAGTAGAAGCTCCTTGGCCTCCTTCTTGCCACGTTTCTTCTCCTCCTTGGCATGCAGCTTGGCCAGACGTTCCTCCTCCTTGGCCAGTCGCTTCTCCTCCTGCAAAATCCAAAAATGTATAACTTTGTTTGCATGCAGTGGAAATCATAAACAAGAAAATCGGAATTGCTTGCGCTTTATGAGCCGCCCGTGTTCATAAGTTTGGAAATTTATGCTTTCCGAGTGAACAAAAGGGCTCAGCATTTCCCAACCGCCCACCGCCCATTTCCCTTTCGTTCGCGATTAATGAAAAACTTTTCCAAAACAGTTGGCAAAAAGAAAAAAAGAGGAACGAGGCCAATTACAAACAATGCAAATATGCACAGCCCTCTTTCTGGGCATTTGGCGGGGAGGGCAGGGAGGCAAACAATGCATCTCCCAGAGAAAGAGGGGTGACGGGGGTTCACCGAATTCCCTGCAATTTCACCTTTCACCCACCTTTCTGGCTTCCTTCTCAGCCTTTAGCTTGAGCTTTTCCTCCTTTTTCTTGCGCTCAACAGACTCGTTTTTCTTATTGTCAGCCTTCTCTCCTGGAAGAAAAGAAAATGTCAAATTTAAACTTTGGTTATTATTTATATTTAGTAATAAAATATAAAATATTTCCTTAATTATAAATTTAATTTACTAAAAAACCTTATAAACTAAAAAACAAAAACTCACTCTGATTGCTGGCGGCGGAGAAAAGCGGAAAACTGCGACTGGAAGAGCTTGACGTGGGCTTGGGATTACTAGCCGAACCGGATCCTGTTGTTCCGGCATTGTTGCCAGCGCATCCTGCAGAGGCCCTCGAGCCACTTGCTCCTTGTGGAGTTGACTTGGAGGCAGTACCAGTTGTTTTCCCTTGCGGAGCAGAAGCTGGCTGCTTCTTGTCCTTGGGCATCACGTAAGCGTTTTTGGGCAGCGAGTTTTTCGAGGTTAGCGGGCAGATCTTTGCCCCGCCCGCTTTCAAAGGGGGCGGGGCCAGTGCGGAGCAGCTCAGCTGGATGTTCATCGGGCTGGGGCGACGTGGCGGAGGTGAGGATGTAGATTCTCGCAACAATGGAGCCAGCTCATGGGCACTGGACTTCGTATATGTGGAGTAGCTGCAAGAAGGGGCATATTAAGGGATACTCATAGGCCATGTACCAAGTTTTAACTCACCGAAATCTGGGATTGCTGACGTGCACGGGCGAGGGATGCGGCACTTTGGCCGGACTGCGGAACTCCTTGATAGGCGGCAGGCGATTCTGGATGTCCATCAGTCGGTTCTTTACATGTCTTCGTCCTGGATACGTATGCGTGGGCGTCATCATTCCGCTGGATCCATTTCCACTCACTCCTCCACCAACACTGCCGTTGGAGGATGAAGCAGAAACGGGAGTGGAGGTGCTGTTGGTGAGCGTGTGCAGCGGTTTCCTTGGCACTGCACCAGAGCAACCAATTGGGCAACCACCATGATGCGAGTGCGAGGTTCCATTTTCCCGAGGTGAAAGGGAACTGCCTGATGAGCCCGACGGAGTGGGTGAGGCCAAACCATGTGTATGATGATGAGTCGTAGGCGATGGCGGTGCCAGGTGATTGCTGGAGCTGGAAGCCACGGCCGGCGAGGCTGGTGAGCAGGGACCATTGCTCGATATGGAAGACGTCTTTGAGTAGTGCGAATAGCCAGAGGCCGACGAAGCCGCTGATCCTGTTGAGCTCATCGAGTACAGGCTGTCCGATTGGGAGACTCGAGCATGGGCTGAACCTCGTGGCGTATAATGGTGCGGATGGTGTCGCCCCACCGCCGACTTGTGCAACGTGGGCTGGTGGAACGAGTGGTGCCCGCTGTGCGCATCGTTCATCGAGTAGGAGCTGGCCGAGGGCACAACACCGCCGGCGGCCACTCCGGCGGATGCCCAACTTTTGGCACCCATCGAGTAACTGCTGGCCGACTCCTGAATCCTCCATGTACCCGAGGACGAAGTCAAGCGGTTCACTCGTGCTCGGCAAATTACGCAGCGAAGAGGCAGTAGCCGTTGGGCCACAGCACTCTGGATCGTCTTTACAAAGCAACGACGGCAGACGACACGGTGGCCACATGGAGAGGTCTGCATGGTGGCCCGGGCATTGATGCAGATCACACATTCATCCTCTTGCGATGTGGGTGGATCCGGTTCACTTTCCTCCTCTAGTTTGCTAAGCAGTTTATCCTGGAAATGGAAATGAAAATGGTAGATTAAAACTTTAAGCCTATAAGTAGGCTATGGAAAGTGTATGGAGTTGTCTTTGTATATTTCAGCCATAAAGTATTTGAGATATTTGGTAAATATTATGAAATTTTGTTATAGTATTTAAGACGATAATCTGATTATCGCTCTTTCTTTTTTATCTAAGCTTAAGAAGAAAAAATAAATATATATTTCTAGAAAGAAAGGGTAGTGAAAAATGCTTACTAATTACAGACAAAAACAGTTCTTAGCCGCTGATTTAACTGGTAAGTGATGATAACGAATGCTTAAAGCTTAATTGTGCTGCAGAGCCATTAAAGAACATTCACTTGTTTAGCTTTAATTGTCTAAAAGATTATGGTGATTAACTCGTACAAGTCCTGAAGGTAGGTTTTTATAGTGAAACGCTTTAACAGAATTTTGCCTTTCAAAAACTGGTTAAAATCTTTGTCATAAAAAGAATATTGCTTAAAAATTATATATTAATACGCAAAATAAAAATGATTAGCATGGAATAATACCCTTTCTAAGTATATTCATAAAGATAATATTCTTTTCCAAGAAACAGTTTTAAAGAAATTAAACAGAAGGCAGCTAATGACCTTGCTAATTGGGACGTCGATAGAGTTTACAGCTGTTTAGCTTCAAATTAAGTCAATATCTATCTAATGACGATACTTAAAACTATAAATATAAAACTATAAATACCTAAACATGGCCTAAAGGTCTAAACTTGTATCGAATCAAGGAAAGATAATATAAGTTAATGATGAGCTAAACTATGTTTTGCTTTGTTTTTTGCCATGTTTGCCTATCAAAACCTTTAGATCTGCATAGTCGACTTCTGAGGTCAGTTTGGGTGTTCGACCTCAGAGTGACAGAGTGAGATGTGATACCTGTTATTGATTTCGAATCTTTCCATTTATAAGAACAACCCATTGTTGACCATCCCCGCGTATAATTAATTTTGTGATTCAGCAAATTTTAGCACTTTAATAAGCACTGATTGAATAAACTGGTTTACGATCTTATTAAGCTATTAATAGTTCATGTGGCTATTTTTGTATAATAATCCCTTTGTTGCTAAACCAATTGTATTTATTATTTGGGAGCCACAAACTTGGCAAGGCTTGAGGAAGTTGTAAATTTGTTTTTGTAGTCCATATTTTTCCATTTTCCTTTTTCGCCCAACTTCAAGTCTGAGTATGACTAATGAGTTTGGTCTTGATATAGAACCTAGAATACTCGTATATATGGATTTCCTTGACTGTGTGGTTTTGAAGTGAAGCCCTTGCACTTGATGGTCCCTCAATGCCACATCGAAAGCCGTGCAAATTGTTCGCCAACGAAGGCTTCTGCGGCTTAATTGCATATACGTTAGGTATACGTTTAATTGGTATTTGGTGGCTTATGCAAGCAATGGCAAATCAATCAAGTGTTCGATTGCCAACCACAAATGTCCAAAGAATCTTTTTGCAATTTGTATCTCTTGCCATCTGTATCAACGGCTGAGGGATCTCTGCTTGACTGGTCATTGATTTAATGTCCATGGTGGTCTGGCTAAATGTTGGAGGGGATTTTATCCATTCGAATTCAGGGCTACATTCATTTTAAAAGTATTCCAAATCAAAAAAATTGTTTGAAAAAAGGTAAATAATATTTCATACTTCATTTTAAACTTATAAAAATATCCTATAGATGCAATGTTTTCTGGGAGTTCCCTATTTTGGTTCCATTTATTGTTTAATTTTAAATTGATTATAGTTATTATTTATTCCCTTTAAGCCGCCTCTGTTTATGACGTACTTATCGACAGCTGAGACAACAGCGAAAAATGCCTCGAAATCTCACGCCCGCAGTCAAAATTATTTAAAAAATGAATGAATCGAAGTTTGAATGCTCTGACTACACGAAGTTAATCAAGCTCTTCTTTTTTTGGTAATAAACCTTGCGAATACTTTGCATGATTAATGAGGATATTAGCGCCGTACTAATTAATCTGAACAGACTAACAGATCCACAAGAAATACAACTTAAAGGAGTGCCTCTGACCTTACCTAATATTACTTTTAAAATATAAAGTTTTTCATTTGAAATTTTAATTCCTTCCCAGAAAGACTTGATCTTAGAAAATATATTCTAAAACATAACAAGGTACTTAACTTTAAACTGGATTTCAACTTTTAACGGCTTATTCTTAATTGCTTAAACTAACGATTTGTCTTAATTCAAGATGTATCTGCCCCTTAATGGTTGTCGGATGTTGGATGTTGGTTCCGATCGAGAGGCGATAAGTGAATTGAAACGGAAAGTGGCATCTGGTCAAGGTGAACAGCCTGTCAGATGGATCCGGCTGAACTTGCCATTTTTCCCTGCGAAGATCACCTGGGTGGGCTTGCTCATTCCGAATGCCCGACATGTAGTGGGTGGCTGGTAGAGTGTTGGACACACGACAATCAGGAAATTGAAAACTATTTTACGATCTCGACCGGCTTCTGCATGTCTGATTAGCTGATTTAAATACGGAACGCATTATAGAGTCTGTAACGCACTAAAGTTTGTTGTCTGAGTCTTTCGTTTTAGGGCCTCGCAAATTCTGTTAATCAGATTGGCAGCGATGCCGGCAGCGACGTCAACTTCGGCAGAGAGTCTAGCTCGACGTCGAATCGGGAGTTCCGATCGTTCAGTCAGTATTCGCCGCTCGTCGAGAACAGAGCGTTTTCTTTATCGATCGTAATCGTGATTTGTTTTAGTTAAACCAAAAAAAATAAAACAACAAAATATAAAAACAAATGCGGAAACCGATTTGAATGTTGATTTTTAGCATCTAAAAGTGAATTGAAATTGCACGCCTAAAAAAAAAAAAAGCGAAAGTTCATTGAACGCAAATTGCTAACTGAAAACTTAAGCCAATATTTAAACTAATTTATTATATTTTTGCCATGGTGTTGCCGGCTGCCTCGACATTATGCAATGTATTTACATTTCTGCTGGGTAAGTTGAGACATCGCGATTGGAAACTGAGACTACAAAACCGAAAGTGGCATCTATTAGCATTGATTCATATTCAATGTCAGCTGGAAAATCGTGTCCCAAGTGGGCGGTTGGGGCGTAACTATGCACATAAGTTCAAGGCGGCATGGGTAGTAAGCCAAACGAGCTGACGTCTTTGTTGATACGCGCACTCAAAAGATTCAATTGTTGACCATCGGCAATGTTTGATTTGGGGTAGGTCAGCTCAGATGACCACTCAGCCGTAAAGGAAGGTTGCTAGAAGGGGGGGTGGTGTACCATATTTACTATCCAAACAAATCATCAATGTATCACATATCATTTGTTAAGTCCCTTACTTTAACATCCACTCTTCACACCGTTTATATGGATCATCATGAGCCCCGGCACTTTATGACATTCTTAATGGCGTAAACCACACCATTTCCAATGTCAGTCGGGGAATCACTTGGCTAGAAGCATAAAGCCGGTAACCGTAGTAAAGTTCTAAATGCAGCCCATAATGGCTTTAGGCTGCTAATTAACTGGCAGCCAAGCGAACATTTAAACAAAAGCTGGCTGCGTGATAATTAAAAGCCATATGAAATACAAATTAAATGCACGGCATGACGTCGCGAAGCAACGTGGAAACAAAGCCAAGACAAGCTTAATAAAGAATACAAAATAAATAAAATATTTAATGGCAATACCAGCCAGCAAAAACCATGGAGCATTCCTCATAAATAAGTGCGACAAACTCTTCCGCTAAACAGCAAAAAAAAAAAAAAAGATTCACATTTACATAAAATAAAATTGTTTAAGCCACATCCATAAAATTTGGTTTAAGCCATTAAGGGAACTACGGAAAACGAAGTTGAGATGCTCTAAGTTTTGGTAAACTGTCTAATTTGATGTTTTTAGTGAGCTATTAAAATATTATTATTATGTTTATTATTTATTAATTTTGTAAAAATTTGTACATACTTCCTCTCTAATAAAGATTTATTTAGTTCTTTTTATGAGAAGGGAAAAATGTAGAATGTTGATTCATTTTTAGTTCCTCCTTTCTAAAATGGTATTTAAACTTTTAAAAATTTCTGTTCTAAACTCAAAAAATATACATATCAAATAGATCTCGTGTTCCGATTGCTAAATGAATCAAACTTATAATCTCAAAAAGAAGAACATTTAACAGTTGTTATAGATTTTCGTAGATGACAAAACGGAAGGTGTTAAGTGGACAGAATTGCAAATGAGTCCGGCACTGGCTAAGGTCAACGTCATTGTTACTTGGCATCTAATCAAGAGCATTATCCGCTTGCATGAATATGTGTAGCAAAACAGAGAGAGCGAAAAAACAAGCCGCCAATGACATCCCAATGTGTTTGACCCACTGACAGCGTGGTGCTCGGCCTCTTAAAACCAACAAAGTAAGCTACAAAAAACCACCCACCCACCTGCCAATCGATCTGATTAAACTCTTGGCCGTGTGAACATCGAAAACCTGATGGAAATGAAAACTTGTTTTCTTTGTTTTTGTTTTTTTTTTTGCCACTGCTACGTAACACGCGGCGTATGCGTCACGTGCTGTCTTTGTAGCCACTACTGGAACTTGTAAATTTTGTTGGCCACAGCCACATACCATTCCACTTGATTTCATTTAACTCCCCTCAAGTTCACGGCCACGCTGGTCTTCGTTAGGCCAGTTTCGTTTTCTTTGCCACTCGCCTTGTTGTTGTTTGGGTTTTGGCCGTTGTTTATACTGTTTGGGTATTGTTATTGTTATGTTATGGTTATGGCTACCTGGCATTTCGACGCGTTGCCAGTCAGTTAATGAACCTAATGAATCAATTAGTCTTGCAGTCCAGCCCTAAACTAATTGGCTCGTGTTTGGCACTTGACAAATTCGATTTCCTTCCGAAGTTTTTGGTAAATGGTTTATGAAGATATTTCATTTATAACATTTTGCTTTGCCTTTTTTAATAAAAAATTTCCTTAAGAAATATTACATAAATGGGGCTATATAATAGCCCATATTTTGCTTGACCTTCTCATAAATTTGATGAATATATCCTTTTATATCCCCAGCTGGCTCACCCATTTTCTACAGTGCTGCTCCTCGTGGATCCTGCTCCACTTGCTGTGCGATTAAGGAACGCGAGGACATAAAGTTCATGCTGTACACTGGGTAAGCAAACAGCCAACCCATCTCTCCGAAACCCAGCTCATGCATATTGAGGGGCCATCAAAATTGGGTCCTCCTTTGCAGCCGGAACCGCAATGCCGCCCAAGTGCTACACCTGAGCGACGATGCCCGGCTGGCGCAGAGCAATTTCAATTTCAATTACCCGCTGGCCATCTATCTGCACGGTTTTTCGGAATCGGCCACTGGCGAACGGCAGAGTAGCCAGGAGCTAAAGGATGGTAAGTCCTGCCACATCCCCCCAAAAATATATGTATACCCTGACCAAATTCCCGTCGGGCAGCATTTCTAAGGAGGGGCAACTACAATGTCATCCTCATCGACTGGAGCCCGATGACAGCGGTGCCCTGGTACTCGAATGCCGTGGAGAATCTGCCAGTGACGGCCCGGTATTTGGCCAGGTTTTTGCGTTTCCTGGTGGACAAGGGTTATCCAGCGAAGTATATCCACTTGATTGGCTTTAGTCTGGGTGCGGAGGTTGCCGGTTTTGCTGGCAAGCAGTTGCAGGAATGGGGCATTAAGCTCCCTAGGATAACGGCTCTCGATCCTGCTCTGCCGCTTTTTGAGGGGAAGAGCTCAAACCGTCGCTTAAGTCCCAGTGATGCTAGGTTCGTGGATGTCATCCACACGGATGGAGGTCTTTTAGGCAATCCTGCCGCCATGGGTCATGCGGATTTCTATCCCAATGGGGGAAGACCTCTGCAGCCGGGTTGTGCCAAGCAAAATATTGCCAATAACTGGTTGGGGATAATTGGTAAGCACTGTTAGAGTTATCTTTAACGCTTAATTAACCAATTTCCCCTTGAAGTTGGCTGCAGTCACCAGCGTGCTTGGGAGTACTTCGTGGAGAGTGTGGGACAGCCCCGAGGATTCCCCGTCCAGCGTTGCGAGACCTCGGAAATAGTCGGTACTTGCCGGCAACCAGGAAATAGCCCCGCCTTCATGGGCATGGGGGCGGATCCCAGGTGAGTTGGAAATCGCTCAATCTCTGGAAATCCATCTGATAAACCAGCTGCTTACAGGATTCGTGGCAAATTCTATCTGGATACGAACGATGCCAAGCCATTTGGACGAAGCAGCCGGCCGAGGGCAATTGCCTCGCTGGCTCCTCGGCTGCCCATTGCCTACAAATTGCCACCTAATGCCACCAGACAGCCATCTGTCAGTCGTTGGGTTTTGGGCCAAAAGGAGCAGGAGGACCAATACGAAGATGGCGACGAGGATGAGAACGAGGACAACAATGCGCTGAGCAACAACATTGACAGGTTCTCACTGACGTGATGGAATTTACACCGGTTTGGCGAAGGATGCGGGGTAAGGGATGTATACACTTTCCCATTCCCCAAGAGTGTCCTTTGCAGCATTGGTTGAGATTTATGTGGGTTGCGATTCAGCCCCATGTTGCATTCGAAGGCAACTGTTCTTGTGATCTTTCTCTTAAGTATTTCTAGCACGTAATCAGGGCATTTGTAAGCCGTTTAAATAAATATCCTTAAGTATAAATAGTTGAAATGGGGGTTTTCTTTGATAAAAAGGAAATTGGAAAGTATGTTTAAAATGCGTTGTCATCATGACTAGGAAAATGGTTATAAAAGGCAATGAAACATGATTTCTTAGATCTAAAACTTTAAAAGGTATCCCACTCTTTGTCTTAAGCTTGCTTAGAAAAGACATTCAAAGTATTAGAAGCGAAAAAAATCATTAAGAAAACTTTTAATTGGCCTCTTTGAAACAAAGCTGCTTCAGTAAGAAGTTTGAGAATTTTTCTTTTACATCCCTTAAGCTACATCCTAGCATGTTAAACAAAAACCTTCATATCCTTCCCTCTTTAAACATCATTGAAAATTCAGGTAGCAACGCGACAATCAGCAGAACCTTCGTCATACCCAAAAAAAATGACAAAAAAAGGCAGCGCCAGAGGAGGCTCAATTTGCACACTTTTAGCCGTGACTCATCATGACAATCGCTCTAAAAGGCAAGTAATTTAATTTAGTTGGCCCAAACCCTCAAAAAAAGAGCGAGAACATCCCCTGTCGAGCCGTGGGACATGCAAAAGTGGACACGCCTATGACGCAAGGGGAAGCCTTAGAAAAATGCCACCCACCAAAAAATATATATATACAAAACGAAATATTAAGTATACGCAACGAGAACAGAGCGATACAAAATTGGGCTCGAAGTTGAGCTATTGCCAGTGCAATTAAAAAGTAATTAATGAATAATACCAAGGCGGCCAAGAAGGCGCCTTACTCGCCCCATGGACTGCAAAATTGTTTATTAACTTGGCCTGCAGCCGACGCCTGTAATTATGCAAGGACTTGAATGGAAAAAAAAGAGGGAAAATAATGAAACAGAACTGAAAAAGAGCAACAAAGAAGCCATACAGGACATGGGCCATAATGTGCAATGAACGTCGGAGCTCATTTCACGAACCATCGCCTAACGAGCACCGGAAGTGGTGGCAAGTTGAGGAGGAAGTTCGGGAAGTGGAAGTTCGGTGTGGCCAGCCGGATGGGTAAAATGAGGCTCCCCATACGAATATGCCGGCGTTGCATTATTAATGAGCCAGACTTTCGAGCCAACTGAATGCAGATGCAATTTAGCCCCCATCAGTCATCGCCGATACCGAGAAGAACCACTCAATGATTTGTGAGTTTTAGTTTTTTTTTTTTGAGGGGGAAGGCCTCCTGGCACAGGTCCCCAGTCGATTGGCTTTTTAGGTCAACTGCAGATGGTCGAATGCCTGTCGAATTTATATTTAATGGCCGCCAGGCCTTGATGAGCGGACACATCTAAATGGTTTTCTGGTCGAATCGATAAAGAGTTGCACAATCCCTATGGGGGGATGTGGAAAAGTGGCAAAAACAAAGACCCACCTTGAAAGCCCTTGTTGGAGTGATGTTTAAGGTTTGAGTAATTGGCTGTAAAACTTAATCTTTTTTTATTACTCTATTAAAAGCCATCAAATTGGAATTCCTAGTTAAGATTGCTTGGACTTGGGTAGTAAATATTTTAGAAATTAAGTGGTCTAAAAAGTGTGGGAAATATCATCATCCCAGAAAATAACTTTTTCTTGAGCCAAATAAAATCCAAGGAAAATTTCTCTCTTTTAGGGAACTTGTAAGAATTTCCGCTCAGGGAAATCTGGTGAAACGGCGTAGAAGGAAACTTATATAAATACCATTCAATTTGCCTATTGAGCAATCAAATAAATTCCCTGTGATTGTGCATTCACCTATTTCCCGTCGTAATTTCCAGCGTATTTCTGTTGGACTGTCAATTATGGACATTTTCGCGGCGGGTGGCCAGGTAATGTAGGCCAATAATAAAAACACTCCTTAGCTTCTAGCCTTAACGCCTCCTTCTCCATCATTGTCCTGAAATTTTTGCCCCTCTATGGCTGTTAGGCATGCCATGGAACAACCAGGCGACAACTGTGCGAGACACGTGCGAACGACTCACTACTCGCTGCTGACTCACACAAAAATGCGGTGGCTAATGAGGTTTAGAAAGGAAAAGAAGGTATGGAATGGTGGGTTAAGGATATAGGGGGATTATACTGGTTGGTTCGAGGATAAATTCCTGGAGCTGTCAATGAACGTTTGCTGATTGATTGAGGTTGGAATTGATTATTAATACCGTGACTGGTCTCTATTCTTGTTTGCTCTAACTTAAATACATGTGTGCCCACAAGTCGTTGGGAGTGGGCGAAGGTGGCTTTGTTCTTTTGGTTAACCAGAACCAGGTAGAGGGTCACAATAAGGGTCTGCACTTTAATCTAACATTGATCTAAAATAGCTATAAACACGCCATTTATTTGGGAGACAAAAGCAGATAAATGGGAAGTCCGGAGAGGAAAGGACAGGTTCTTAGGTTCTTGAATACATTATTGGATATTTGATATGAAATGAAGAGGGAAGAGAAGATATAGGATGTAATTACTTAGAGTAATCTGCAATAGTATAAGATCGCACTTTTTGTCAGCTTTTGGCTTTTCTCAAAAGTCAAAAACCAACTGCCTTTTCAATTCTTGTTCATCACTCTGCTTGCTTGTCCGTAAGCGAGACGGATGTATATACAAAACGATCTCTTAAAGCTAATGTACGTGATAGAAAGAGATAACAGTATACCAGGATAATATTTACAGTTAAGTTGTTTCTTATTTTATCCTACAGTGGGTCTTCCACATATACGTTACGCTAAAATTTGTACAGTGGGCCTTAATAGATATTGTCATACTGCATATCTATGGGCAAAGAACAGATTTATCCTTGAAAACCATTAAATCCCATACAAATTTAAGGTTGGATAATCCTTTGACATACATTTTTCTATAGAAATTTAAATTTATTAAATTTTGTATTGATAAAGCTGACCAATTTTAGTTTTTTTAACAATTTTCCTTTTTTTCAGGCGAAATTTACATAAAACAATATGAATATTTTCCCTTTTTCACTATTCCTAGCATTACTTTTCCTCAACCTTTTTATAACACGTGAATCAAATCCGTTTCCACACTTGTTTTAACCACCTCAGGCACTTTGACACCTGAAAGTAGGTGACCCCATATAATATAATCCCCCCTAGTAACATTCATATACGTACATACAAAATGCAATCAGTCAGTCAAGCAGTCAATCTGTCAGTTTTCGGCACCTGCTGCACTTTAAAGGAAAGGAAAATTAATTAAATCGATATAGGACTTTGTACTTTCCTCTCTCCTCGCCCCTTCCACCACCCACTACAACTCAACGATTCTGTGGGAAAGTGCTGGCATATGACTTTCCTGGCAATGTTGCTGTTGTTCTTTATTATCGCGCTGGCTGCACTTTCCTTTTCATGCACCGATAATTGCGAAGTGGAGGCAACAATTCCATTAAGGGCTGCACAACGACCTACCCCACAGCTCCTCCCACCTCTATTTTCCCAAGTCAAAAACCCCCTGTCGTTTTCCCACCCCAAGCCCGCAGCTCTTGACTTCTTTATTTGAAGCATGCTCGCCGGGAAAACATTGTCATGAAGAGAAATTGCATTTATATATCTGGCGTCGTTAACGTGTCAGTGAGTTTTTCTCTGAGTGTATATATACGTTCCTTGCTAAGTGAATTTATAGCATTTAATATGTTCGTCGTGTCACTTCTCAATGGTGGAGCATAAATCTAGTGATTTTATGAGGAAAACTTTATGATGCTCCCCGAAGAAAATAGCAGTGCCGTGCAGTAAGGAAATTAAATCTTTAAGATGTTCTAGTTTCTAGTGCTGGCTGCTAGCTGCTGTCTGCTAATTGCCGGCCACATTAAAAACCAATTATAAACCATAAAAGTCAAATCAAACAATATGTGTGCTCTGTTGAGGGGAGAAATGGCTTGTCGACAACTAATTGGGGACAGGCAATCTACGTCAGGGGCGCCTCTATATGGGTTTCCAGGGAGCACCAGATTGCTCATCCTCCCCGCCTGCCATCAATTGTCAGGCTCTGGGCTAATTGCAAAACTCTGGCCAACACAAACATGGCCCATGCCTGCATCTGTTGTGCCCTGGCCACAATAGCAACAAAAACCACAGGAGCACAGGACTCGGCACTTGGGTGAAGGATACTGGAAAAAAATTGGTAATCAGAAGGAAAAAATAGGTAAGGAAAAGACTCATCAAGAGCAAAATCTTCTGGTGAAAATAAGTTGGTAACATTTAATCCGGAAAAACTTAAAACTTAAACTTTTTTCAAAGACTGAAATTACTTAAAAAAGTGATTTATTTGACTCACTTTTTTCTTTCTCTGCATCATAGTTGTTTCCCAGCCATACAAAATTATGAGAAAAGTGTCAAATTTGCCAACTAGACACATGTGGGCCAGGATATGAGTGGGTGGTTGGATGTCTGACTGGGTATGTGGATAGCTGCTGAGAGTGTAATTAGGGCTTTTAACACAAAAGTGCAAAGTGAAACCGAAGCGATGCCATTTTCGGATGGGAAACTCATTGAAATCAAAATGACAGGTGTGGGTGGGGGGAAAACGTGGTGTAGCCATGCAGTTGGGCAGGTGAAAAGGCAGCTGATGTGAGGCAAAGGGGAATCCCTTTGAAAGTTTCACTTTGGTTATTTATATTTCCAGGTTGCTTTCAGGGCGGCAGCTCATGTGTGGAACAAGTTGTTTTCGTTTTTCCTCTTTTATTTTTGCTCCGTTTCTTGTTTTTTTGTGAATGTTCAGTGGCCATGGTGGAAGTACCCTTTAACCCTTTGCTGGGGTTATTGAGAAGAGTTTCCCAGATGAAGTGTTGGACTGTAAAGCGGTTTTTTTCCCACGAATATATGTATGTATTTATTTTAGTAACTGTTGAGAAGCAATTGGTTTTTGAAGAGGGTGGCCAGCCAAAAACTATAGTATAGCATTGGGCGCCGTTTAAAAATAAATCTCGCATTTCAATTTATTATTTTTTTTCAATTTATTTCGCTTTCGCTTTGGCACAAACAATAAATTTTAATTGAAATCTGTCCTTGGGCTA